GTGTGTGTGTGTGTGTGTGTGTGTGTGTGTGTGTGTGTGTGTGTGTGTGTGTGTGTGTGTGTGTGTGTGTGTGTGTGTGTGTGAGTGTTATACAAATAATTGGACAACGATGCAACATTTTTCTCAAATATTCAAAAATGTCAACTGAAAACATGTGGCAGCTAGAATAGCCCTCATCAAACTGAATGCTCCTCTGATGGTCCCATTTCCAATATGGGAAGTCGTATTCCAACTTGTTCAGGTTCTTTGAGTCGTAATGTGGAACAGCCTGGATGCTTCAAGAACGCAAGTTACGTTTAAACACACACTGAGACCTGTTTTCTAGTTGTTGCACTTTAGGGGGCGTTTATGTGAATTATTCGAGTCTGGAACACGTTTTTCAAATTATTCTGACATCATATAGTGAAGTAACAAAGATGAAATATCATTTGCATATCCTAACCGTGATTTTGTCCACTCCTGTTCTTCTTTTACAACCTTACAATAAATGTTTTGAAAATCAGGACATACTTTTTTTTCTATTCCTGCTGACAGACAAACAGAGAGTCAAACCAAACCAGAAACATTACCTCCCTGGCAGATGTAATTATCCAGTGTCATGGTGATCCAAGCCTAGAAAGCAGAACAATAACACATTAAAAAAACTGTTCTACTAAATGGAGACTGGCCTATTGCTTTGTGTTCAACTGACCACAACTCCTGTAAACTATTGAACTAGTGAGTTCATTCCTCCTGCAAATGGCTTGTGTTTTGGTGAGTCAGCCAACCTTCTGACCAGTTAAAAAGCTTAAAGACCCCCCAGATCCAAGTCAGAGACCCTGCTGTCTCTTCCATGGTGACCGGATCCAGCCTCGCTGCCTTCATAAAACTGCTTAAGCACCAGCCTACCCCAAAAGTAAACTTAACCCTTTAAAAACCTCCCTGCTAGCCTGCAGGTGAATATATAATGATTTAGTTAGGAAAGGTTTATCTAGTCTTGCATACAAAATCTATAATCTCTTTTGACTTATCATCTATTTATTAATAGGCTTTTAATAGATCAGGAATGTCATCTTAGTAATACAAGCTTATTCCATACTTTTGTTTAATTCCTGACATTTAATTATTTAGTATACAGGCAATAAATGCTTTTATTTATTTTTAGAGATACTGTTCGATGGTTCCCTGCTGAGACAAAGTAATCACTGATTGTGAAAAATATTTTATTTCCAGATTGATGGCTGATTAAAATTGTTTGTCTATAATTGAGGTGGTGAATAAAAACAAAATGGCCGTGTTTATTTGTATTTGTATTCAGCTCTGATTTTGATTGTTTCAGTATGCTGAAAGAATGAGCTCAGTGGGTTTAATTGATTTTAAGATAGGTTGAGTTTCTTTCATCCCAGAGATATGAGGCTGATTTGGTTTTGAGGCTTTGCACACTCAGTCTGTTTTTTTGTTGCATCTTAAAGTTACATTGACCTACTGCATACATTTTGATGATAAAAAGCAGATTCCAACGTTTTCTGAACTGAGAGCTCTGTGTCTGTGTGTGTGTGTGTGTGTGTGTGTGTGTGTGTGTGGGTGGGGGTGTGGGTGTGGGTGTGGGTGTATGGGTGTGTGGTTTAAGCAAGGACCAATAGAGTGTGTGTGTGTGTGTGTGTGGTTTAAGCAAGGACCAATAGAGTGTGTGTGTGTGTGTGTGTGTGTGTGTGTGTGTGTGTGTGTGTGTGTGTGTGTGTGTGTGTGGAGTTTAAGCAAGGACCAATAGAGTGTTGGTGTGTGTGTGAGAGAAGTATGTTTATATTCATAAGAAGTCCGCCATATCTCTCCCTGACCCCCTCTACCTGCAGAGGGAATGCTAAGATGCGAGGCCGTTGTCTCGCATAACAATGAATGTTTGGTGTTAACAGTATTTCTCAACACATCACTCTGGATACTGTGACAACAACGAACTCCAAACAAATTGAAATTCAGTTTTAGCATTTGTTCTTGGGATTTTAAAGCTGCTACATTCAATAATTTTCTATTAACAATGAATGCAAGGACTATGCGTAATTTAAAAGAGGTCATGATAGTATAATTATTGTTTTTGTAGAACATAGAGTAGTTAAAATCCACATAAAATGAGAATTGGTTAGCCAAGTGAATTAATAATAAAGCCTCACTATCACGAATTTGCCTCAGGGCTTCACAATCAGAGAAGCACCCTCTCAGATATTATTAAAGACATGTAGTTTCCTTAGCTTGCTGTTTCCAGTCCTTTGTTTTTCACGAACAAGCCCCAACATATGACTGAGTGGTTACAGTCCAGCTACAGTGGAAAGGCAAAGTTAGCTAGTTAAATAAAGTGGCAGATGTGGTTCTTATAAGCTGATGGAGACAAACCATTACCAGAAATGTTAAATTATTTGGAAACCCTCCGTTTATGTTTGCCTATCAAACACAGTAGTACCAGCCAATTACAGAACATTTGTTGATGACAAATCACGCCTAAGAAACAGACTTGACTCAGTATATTAAACTTTGGCCAAATCCTGTTTGAAGTAAAGCAAACACTTCTCCCTCTCAAGTAAAGCTTTATGCGCAGTTGATTGTTTTTCCTTTAGCTCAGATGTATCACCTCACTTAAACAGAAAGTTCCACATCAGCTGCAGCCATCTTGGTTGTTTTGAAAAATCCCTCAACAGCAAACTCTTCTGTACAGTTAAAGTTACAGAACCCATAGTAGATAACAGTCGTCTGTCCAAAGTCAAGGGGCCGCAAACATTTCCAATATGAGCTTGCAAATTGGTACGATTCCCAGGCAAAGTGGAGACCTACTAGAGATTCAATGGGAGTATATTGGTTTTTCATCAGCCAGGTGCAAATAAAACTCCCAATGAATGCTAATATTGCTCCCAGTTCATCAGCCTAAATGGTTATTATGCCAGCACTGTGTTCACAGCTTGTTTTCTTTGCCCATAAACGTCCGAACGCATCAGTTAATGCAGGTTTAAAGAGAGGATCAAGATCAAGGAGCCTTTAGTGAAAACACATTACTGATTTAAGAACCCTTGGAACACATTTCCTTTAATAAATATCACACATTTTGGCAATGACCTATTCATAAATCAATAGCGTATAATGATTTTACAGTTGACCCTTATTTTAGATTTTTCTCCCTCAAAGAATTATACACACACACATGCCAACACGCACACTTTCTCTCATCCATGCAGTACAATCAGGCCGTTAGGTTGAGGTGAGAATTACTCTGCCCACTGGAGCAGAAACAAGTAGAGATGCCTCGCCTGGGGATCATTTCATTATTTGTAATAGTGCCTCATTAAAAAATAGATTTTGTGTTACAGGTGAAAACAAAAGTAATCAATCAATGCAGGTGATCAAACGCTTTTTTGACATTACCCAACACCTTGCCTCGTTTTTATCAAGGTTGTTTACACAGCCTTTTAATTTTTGTGTTTGATTGTGTACTTAACCAAGCATCTTAGTCTTTATTGACCGTTAATACACCTTGGCCATTAATATTTTTTCAAAAAGGTCATTTTTGTACCACGGTTTGGCTTATTTGAAGCTAATGCAGTTGCACTTACAATGGCTTGGGTTTTCGAAAGCTAAAAAAACTCTTCGCTAAATTGCCTTGGATAGAAATGTAGAACAAATAAGTGTAATGGAATGACTTGTTAGAAGGACAACAATACATTCACAGAGTGGACTAGTTATTAAAGAGAGATTCAAGGCCAGAGGGAAGTACCCATATTGTTGAGGCGTCCTTGAGCAAGCCTCCCCACTGTTTCCAGGCAGGCGATTGTGTAGCTGACCATCTGTGACGTGGAATAAGGGGAAGCCGATAGAAAATTGCCAAGCACTTATATTATACTCTTTGGGGTTCCAGGAGACCATTCCACTTTGAATGCCAAACAAGCTGATATAGTGGCTTATCTCTATTAGCTCGTCACAGAATTTTACTAGATTGGAAATCCCCTTAGCCCCCATCGACCTGTATTTGGCTAAAGGACCTGGTTTTGTTTCTCAAACTTGAGAAGATAAAGGATACTCTTAGGGGCTCTGCAGACTGTTTCTATAAGAAATGGCAGTGCTTGATAGATTACTTCAATAACCGACAAACACTCCCAACCGTATAGTGGAACATTTATTTCTTTATTATTTTATTTCCCTTTTTTTATTCAGACTCTTATTTATCTTTTTACATACTTATCCCTCTTACTACTACTACCTCTACTTGTTATTTTATGTATTTTGTATTCTTTTATTTGTTGTTACTGTGTTCTTTTTGACATGGAATAAATGTGTTTCCATGATTCAACTTGTATCTCTATGGGTTTTTAAGATATGGGTGGGAGGGGGTTGGGTTAATTCTAAGAAAAAAATCAAATGGATGAATATCATTGTCCCAATTGGGAACCTGGATGATTGAACCTGTTTTTTCAATAAACAAAACATTGGCCAAAAAAACAAACCAGTCCACACTTTCCAATTACTGCTCCTTGTTTCTTGATAATGTGCCTCATTTTCTCTTGAGTGCAATGGATGTTAATCCTGTTTCCTCTTGTTTCCTGCAGGCCCTGTGACTGTGCCTCCAGCGGCAGTGTGGGCGTCTGCTCTGCTCTGGACGGACGCTGCCACTGTAAGCCACACGTGGAGGGACAGAGCTGCGACAGGTGAGTTATAAGATTCTTTATAACGTCACGTATGTGCGCAAATGACCTATGGTTACCAAGGCAACTGAGAAGTCCTCCACAATAGCACAACTAAAGACTTTACTGACCATGCATTACTTTGAGTGCAGAGTAAGCATTCACAGAAAAAATACTTTCCCCTTATTATGGAGCAAATACAAAAAGAAAATAACAATGTTTATGGGTTCCTTTTTAGATAAATCGTATTTATTGTTTTTATTTGTGCACTTTTTCAGTCCAAAAAAAAAAAGCATTGATGATTTTTAGGAAATGAAGTTACTAAAAGTCCAAATTTTTAGGGTAAAACGTTAACATTATCAGTCCTCAAAAATCAGAATCACAAAACCTTTATTCGTCCCACTGCAGGGAAATGTACAGAGTTACTGCAAAGGGGACAGTGCAGATAAAAAGGCAAAAGTAGACTCACATATTAATAAAGAGGTAAGCACACATTAAATAATTCTAAAAAGTAGTGTAAGGTGATTAAGTAATGGCATTAAAATCTTAAATATGCATTAGTCCAGATGACAGGTAATCACAAAATCAGTATACTTTAGTTTTAAGAATATTTTGTATAAGCATTTCTCCCAGGTTTTGAGTTTTCTTCCAAATGTTGTGCCGTTGCAACACGTCGATAACCAAGTGCCTGCGCCCCTCTGTCTGTTTCTATCTCGCTCCTCAGGGATACAGGATCAAACAGATGAACTCACTGTGACATTAGCAATGCACACAGCCCCAGGTCTCAGACTATTGAATAATTCTGTGCTCCCTGTTTGTTGACTTTTTGGGCTGATTTCACAGCTGGTTGAGCAGGCTCCTCTCCTGTGTAATGTGACGAGTGTAGAGGCTGATTTTTAGCGCTGTTCCTGTCCCACCCTTGTGCCAGAGAGTGTTTGTAGGTCAGTGCTCAGGATCCTCGCAGCTGAGCTCCATTTGGCCCCATCTTCCATAACACTGCAGCAACCAGCAGGCATGTGATGAATAGCTGCAATGAGGGGCAATATTTAATTGTTGTAACGCATGAGGGAATGTTTGTGTGTGTGTACCTACAGATGCAGGCCTGGCTTTTTCAACCTACAACACGTAAACACAGCAGGCTGCCAGGCGTGTTTCTGCTTCGGCCACTCGCTGGCCTGCTCCCCGTCCAATCACTACGCTGCTGTCCACATCACCTCTGACTTCCTTGAAGGTATGTCTAAGACTTGCCAGATATGAATAAGGTTTCTTTGCTTCTGTGGGGATGTTATTAATCAGCTAAAATTCAAATGACCGGGGGTTTACTTTGTTCTTTCTGAATTTGCACGTCTTCATTTTCCTTGATTTCTGTGTTTTATTGTGCTATAATTAATAAGTGTCTTGTGCATGTTTGTTATTTGTTCTGTAGTTCAACCAAATTGAATATGTTTGCCCTTTTAGCTTAAAAGTAGGGTATAAGGGCAAACATATTCAATTTGGTTGAACTACAGAACAAATAACAAACATGCACAAGACACTTATTAATTATAGCACAATNTGTGTGCCTTGGCAGTCTTAGTGTTCTCATACTGCCTGTGCTGCAGCACCTCTTTTCACCCTCTGTCTGAAACCAGAGCCCAGTCTGCTCTGATTGGTTAGCTGGCCGGCTCTGTTGTAATTGGTGAGCCACTAAGAGAAGCCCCGCCCCTTAGCCTATCACATACAATGTGTTGGATCACTAGCCAATAGAATCGCAAGAGCTACATAGTTATTATACTTTGTTACGAAGAACATGTAGGAGAGAAACTCCCCCTGGAGGGAACACAGGGATTTTAGCCTTTGCAGACAATTTACATGCACAACAACCTTTATAACACACTACATAACATTACATGTTACTTGTTTTTATCCAAAGCGACTTACATACTCAATGCTGTGGGCAATCCCCACAGGAGCCTTTGGGGTGAAGTGTCTTGCCCAGGGACACAACGGCATGCTGACTGCAGTGGGGTTTGAACCTGTGCTCCCCTGATCCCAACATCAACACACTAGTCCACTGCGCCACAGTGCAACACTACAGAAAGAGAAAACCTAAAAAAACATAATAGGGCCTCTTAAGTCCTGAGTATCAGAATAAATGCTTGAAGTGACACACTTTTAAACAGATCCACTCACTACATTCTACTCAACTGCCTGCAGTTGCAATACATGACTGAAAGCTATTCATTGGGGTCCTTCAAGGTAACATACAGTCCTGGGTCAAATGAAATAAATGATGCATGCACGTTCAATCAACAACTTCAAAACAAATTGAAAATAAACAAAGGTTGAATCTGTGCCAGTCTATTTCCATTTAGTTTCAATGGATGTGTCAGAATGATCTGAAGTCCACGGACTGTGCTGAGTCTGCCAGAAACACATAAAGCCACCGCTGATAGATTTCCCTATAACTTTTGGGGAATGGCTGAGGAGCAAACTATCAATCAGGGGGTTTGGACTTTGCTCCAACCAAATTAAATCAACTCAATTTCAATTCAATCAAAGCTGCCTCTCACAAACACAGGTCCCACCGAGGCTCCAATCGACCACAAAGCAGACGGTGTGAGGGCAGAGGGTGAAGTGACAAACTTTCAACTTTTAAACAGATCCACTCGCTACACTCTACTAAACTGTCTGCAGGTGGAATACATGACCACAAGGTATGCTTTAAAGAAATATACACCACATATGTAGATGAAGGCCACTTCATATACACATGAAATACACCTATGCAACCAATAACCTCACCGTCACCCTATTTAAGGAAACAAATCAACACGTTCAAAATCCTTTGCCTGAGCCCTTGGCGTCTGCACCATTGTGCCGATGCTGCTGTGTTCTGAGATGAACAGAATGAAATGAATTGACAAAGAGCTATTGTCGGTCTTAACGGCCTTAAGGCCTCAGTATGCTCAAACAAAGAGCTCCAGAGATTGTCGAACAGTGTCTGAAATTCCCTCTCTAGACATCTTTCTGATCTTGGAATTGGCGGGCCTATTTTCAACACATTATTGTAACTTTCTGAAACAGATTATTTGATAGGAGATACAATATAGGAAGATAGGAAAGTTTTGATTTTGTCTCTCAATTGAGTTGCTTGGTGTAAAGCCCAGAGCAACACATTTGATACCCGTCTGAAACAGCCAATCAAAAAACTGATTCAACCTTATAACCAAAATATTACAAAATAATATGGTCTCTTGGGTGCTTCAGAAGTAGATTGTCCTCTCAAACGGCTGGCTTTAACATGAAGGTTGTTTAAACAATTTGCTAACATTTGATTTCTGTTTTGTTAGCTAATCTTCGGAAATCTGCTGCTGTTATTGCAATCCATATTATGTTAGGCTATTTCATTCTGTCTCTCTTGACACCCGCTTAATCTTACACAGCGCGGAGATTGCTTTGAGTAGCCAGTCCTTCACCTAGAGAATTTAGCTCTTTTAGATTGTGTTTTTTCCCTCAGCATATGAATAAGCATTAATGCACCAATGGCTCCAGGAAAATCATTATGAAACAAAGAAGCAGGCTAGTTTACAAATAAAAAGCGATATACAATGTACACTTTGATATTTACCAGCAAATAAACAACACAAAATAAGATGCAACAATACTACAGGTTAAAATTGCCCAACCTGGCTGGCAACTTAGAGTCGAATAAACAATTATATTGAGTTGCTTGACACTGGCTATTTTCAGAAGTCCAACTGTCCAAATTGGAAATTATGTTTAATGCAATTCTGAAGCTGAAACCAGTTGCATGAAAGTTCCTCTGTGTGTGTGCCCAGTCCTGCAGTGTGTGTGTGTGAGCAACCAAGCGTAACACCATGAATGAGAGTAAAGAGAGTGCCAGAAAGATTGACTGTGTCCAGACAACACAACATGCAGGAGACACAGAGCTTTGGAGAGAGATTCGAAAGTCATGCAGCCAATCGGAGGCTGTGATGGCTTCTCACCAAGCCTTTGAGTATGAAGACTGGGTATACACACTTACTTCTAGATGTGGTCAGACAACAAGTATCACTGCATTGGTTTCAAGCCTACTGAACTCTTTACTCATTCACTAGTTGACTTTCTCTCTGCTTCTCTTTCTCCGCACTCTTTATTCCCTGTTTTTGTTCTCTATTGTCTCTATCTCTCTACCCAATTTTTCTCATCTCCCTTAGCTACATCTCCTTTCTCTTTTGCTTATGTTTCCAGACGACGAGGCCACCAGGCAGGCTCATATGCAGACGCTGGGTGCATTTAGTGCTCAGGTTGTGTGAGGCTCTCAGCTGCAATTGCTGCTTGAACCAGAGTGACAGTTAGCCTGGAGCTGCTCTCCTTGCTCTCTGTTCCCCTCCTGAACACAAGAGCAGCCATATGCTGCTCCTCTGCCTTCGACTAGAGGGTTATTTCATTAAAATGTTGTCTGCTTTTCACTTTCTTGTCTTCCTGCCGCTTCAGGCCTTAGCAGGTTGGTTGTGCTAAGGATCAACATGGCAAGCTTCTCAACAGATGGCTGTAAGGACTCGTGGTATATGATTCCCCCCTTCAGCATGAAACTCCGCTCAGCCAAGAGCCACGGTTACCGTCCAGCAGACTCAAGTGCTGACCGCAATGGTTGGAGGTAGGTCAGAGCGACTGTTTAGGGAGGTGCTTGAGGTTTGTCTGTGATAGTTCCTGGCAGCTGCGCTCGAGTGTTCAGTCTGCTCAGACTCCGGGGGGACTTGAACTCTGCGTGTGTCAACCGTCAAGCAGATGTCCAGGATCAGGAGGAGGACAAGTGGCTTTGCACATGCTTCAGAGGACGATGGTGTCCCCAAGTGTCTGCATGCATACACATTCACACATGTCTACCTTCATACATTCATGACTTGGGCACTTACTGGTGAGAAAAAGTAATTTGGACAAGAGAGTTTGAAAGATGTTTTCAAAAAATAAACGTTTTCGTGCAGTGAAATAGAAGGAGCAATTCTTATGTCCTGCCTGAGTGATTTGAAGAAATGAAAGATGAAAAAGGTATAAGTGGCGTTGGTATGAGAAAATCAGGAAACTCAAATTGAAATTATTTTTCTTTCTCAAACTCTCTGTCTGGTCCAAAGACTCCTTGTTAGACACTTTTCAGAGAATTTCTGTAACGTCTTAGCGCTGGATGATATTTGTGGAGCTTGATGAGTGACGCATATCCCAAACACTAGTTCTCTCTACAAATTCAATTTGATAAAAAAAAAAGCCTATATGATTGAATCCTGTCTAGTCTGACACCCGAAGCCAAGACAAACTACGGTAACAAATACATTCCTGGGAATCACAGCAATTGCATTTCATATATGATGTCCGACTTGTCACTCAGAATTATCTGGTACGTTGGTGAATACACAGTGCAGGGATTTCAGCACATTCACAAATTAAATATAAAAGAGAAGAGACGTTGGGGAAGAGAGGGAATTTCAGAGCTGCCTTCAAAGCCGCTGCCACTCCGGTCTAATCTTTAAAGTAACTGTACACATGCACCCCTATAAAAAAACAAAGCTAGAGAAAATGAGATCATTAATAGGGATGGCAAGGCAATAGATTTGTGCATTTATTATGCGGAGAAACAACATAAACAAGCACTGTGCGAAGTAGATAAGCAGGCTGCCACAAAGCTGCTGTCGGCCAGTCGGGCCACTAATCTGTGCTTCGTGGCCAACAGAGACTATAAACTGCGTGAAGAAGAAAGAAACTTTAAAATAAACTATTAACTATGCACATTTTTAATTACACATACATTGCAAAGCATGCAAGCACTCATTATGGACTCATGGCCACGACACACACACACACACACACACACACACACACACACACACACACACACACACACACACACACACACACACACACACACACACACACACACACACACACACACACACACACACATTTATAATAACATTTTACAAATTATGCCTGACCACCAGGCTTTGTCACATCCCGCTGTAAGCATTTCGTCCTTCTAAAAAAAGATGCCTCCAAATGGAGCCGTTTCTCTGTGATCGTGCGTTTTGGGCATTAAGCCTCCAGGATGCGGAGTTAATGGGATTGCTCCTGTTTTGCTTCTGGCTGCGAGCTGCATGGTGGCTGGAGAGCCTGTGAGTTGATGCCTAGAAACGACTTAGCGGAGACAAGAAGAAGCCGAGCCAATTTCTACTTTGTTGCTTCTCCAGCAT